ATAGATAGATAGATAGATAGATAGATAGATAGATAGATAGATAGATAGATAGATAAATGGGCAAATGTCTTGCTTATTTCTAACTCTCAATTTACATCCTGCCATATAATCCTGTAATAATGTGAGGGCTAAATTCATACGGCAGCAAATCCTCTCCTCAATCAATCCTTCAGACCTTCATCAGTGCATTTTGATCACACTCACCCCGCCTCCCCTAACTCCTCACAGATCCACCCTACTTTCCTACTCACCCAACTTTATGTCCTCATTTTTTTTTTCTAAACCACAGATTCCAATTTGTGCTGCCCAGATACTCTTGAATGTGTGGCCACCCACTGTAGCATGTAAACCTACCAGGGGCCACTCACACTCTCAAAACCTGCTTTCCTTCCCCACCAGCCACCAAGTACCAACGACTAGGGGTAGGATTATGTGCCTACCTTCCTTGTTCATTGCATCAACTCTTAAAATTCCCAACTTCTCCAATTTTCACTAAATACAGTCCCATTACTCAAAAACAATAGTTTCTTTAGGCAAAGACGATTAAAACATAAAACCATCTCATGTGATTTTCGCTATAATTTGTTATATTATCTGGTTATGATAATAATGTATATGTAGTATTTTCTCCCTTGCTATGAAAGCCTTCCTTGGACTCCAAGGCTGAAACCTGCACCGCATTTCAGGTCCTTCCACGTCCCGCTTGTTTTTAAATTCATGTTTTAATGGTGACTTGGAGAATGTTCTAGACAAACCACTCAACACATTTACACAGCTCCTAAGAGTCCCAGAGTGGCACGGCACCCTGTGCTCTGGGGATCACCTGCTGCCCTTGACAGGCCTGCCAGCTAAGGCTCAGCGGTCACGTAATGGCAAGCTGCCGCTTTTTATTTTTAAAGCCATGTGATACCCTCGGAGAGTGACAGTAAACAGAAGCTTCCAATGTGGCCTGAGTAGCTCTGAGTGGCCCCTGTCATCCTGGAAAGGAAATGAGAACCAGTGGAGACCTCTTCACACCTCTGAGTCGCCTCTGAGGCCCTTTGCAGCACAGATTCTAACCCTGGAAATCTGGGCTCTCTAAATGAAGGTATCAGTTGAAAGCAAACATTTAAAAACAAATAAATAAACAGGCCAGATGCGGTGGCACATACCTTTACTCCCGGCACTCAGGATCTCTGCGTTTTAGGCCAGCCTGGTCTACAAAGTGAGTTCTAGGACAGTCAAGGCTACACAGAATAACCCTGTTTCAAAAAAAAATAAAAATAAAAGAAAGAAAGAAAAGAAAAAGAAAGAAGCTGGGGGTAAAAGAAAATCAAGGTTCTAGGAAAACAAAATGTTTTAAAAATCTGTTCGGTTATACCACGGGCATCACCTTCCAATCTCAAGTACCCTGTGAATTCAGCAGCTTCCTCCTTTGACTTGACTCTGTCAACTCTTGTGGCAGAGATGTTCCCAGTTCCAGTATGCACGGGGCTCTTTTAGCTTTGGCAGAGGTGCTAGTTGGGCTGGCAGTGGGGTTTGGCCCATCTTGGGCCAAAGTCTTAAGAGAGTCTTAATTTTCTTAAGGTACTAGCAGGACATGAGGGTTAATCAAGATGGAAGACCCCTAAGTGGATCGGCCCAGAATGGTGCCCCATAAGAAACGTCCCCATTTTAGGAAACATGGCCTTTAATAATTTGGCTCTTCCCTTTAAAAATACAAGGCTGCTGCTTGTCATGTTGTCTTCTTCCCTTAGAGGCACACACAGTGGTTCAGAATATAGGCAGAATAGAGGTGTATGCCTTTAATCCCAACACCCAGCAGACAAAGGGAGAGCAAGTTCCAGGACAGCCAGGGCTACACAGAGAAATCTTGTCTCGCCAAAAAAGAAAAGAAAAGAAGAAGAACATAGGCTATAGGCTATGCTGGTTGTCATGACATCATGATGTGTCTTAAGAGGGAGAAGCAGGCGGATGGATCTCTGTGAGTTTGAAGCCAGCCTGATCTACACAGTGAGCGCCGGGCCAGGCTACATAGTGAGACCCTGTCTCAACACTCACTCACCTACTCACCCCCCCCCAAAAAATAGAGGCTATGGCTTTATCAGGCAGTGAGGTAGCAACTGAAAGTAATAGAATTGATGTTATAAAGGATTTATTAATAGGTTTGCTTAGGAGACATTAAACCACACAAAGTAGAACTTAGTTAGCTGCCTCCAAAGCACTGCAAAGATTAGTGTGCTAACCAGGCCTGAGAGAGATAAGCAAAACTTGGATGTAAACGCTTGTTGAACAGGATTGGCCATTAGACCCATCTCCAAAGAGCATGGCTCTTAACAGGCAACTCAGGGGACAGAACAGGGTTACAACCAATGATAAGGCCTGACCTGCCAAACAGCACCTGGTTCTCTTCTTGAGAAAAGCATAATTCTGCCAGATGGGTAAGACGATCCCAGGTAACAACTACTCAAACAGAACAACACTGTTGTACTTAAGACATAACCCTGGCAATATTTATGCTATGTAAACATCCCATCTGCCCAAGTGGCCAGATTTGCAGTTTCAGGTCTCTGTTCAAATTGTTCAAACTGGAACCTGGAGGAGACTTAAGGGTGACAACGTATGTAAAATGCACGAGCCTAAGGTACATTAGTGAAATATATTCAAGATGGCTCCTCTTTGAGCATTAGCGTGAGCTGGACAAGCACACTGAAGACCTTTTGGGAAGACATATTACTTTCATGGCAAAGCATTTGTCACACACTTTTGACCTGAGTTCGATTCCCGGATCCTACTGTAAAAGCCTATCACTAACAGCTGTCCTCGTTAGAACACATTAGAAATGGCTCCTCTCGGCATTTTCACTACATTAATGAAAAAGCAATCTGAGTAAGAAAGGGGGAACTGCCCACAAAGTCATTAAGTGTAGGATCCAACCAGGACTGAAGCAAAGACTCTTCACCTGTCTCGAGCTCTCGCCATCAGGACACGGTCAGATGCAGAGAAAGAGCTTTTCCAAAAGCCTTACCTCTGTGTTTACAGAACAGGTGATAAGGAGAATGCTTTGCTTAAAAAGAATCAAAATTCTTTATTCACTGCAAATATTCTTTCTGAATTTTAACACGGGCCCTTGGGTATGCTAAAGGGGTAATAAAATATAAAGCTGTTTTGATTTTACACAAAAAGGGAAGTGATTCCAAAAAATACTCTGTGTAAATTTCTTCTACATACAAACACCTACTGTCCACAAAGAACTAACAGACTATTCTGGATAAGAAAAAGACCCTCTTGTTAACTGGGAAATCCAACTTTTAAAGAAAGATAGCTCTAGTGAAGTACGATAGCATCACTGTGGACATTAATGACTGCTACCCATGCTGCCTCATAGATCCCAGATGTGTTAGCACTGTCTTGAGTTCAGTTTCCATCTTCTAGTAACAGTAATTAATTTCCCTCTAAATTCTAATTTTTAAGAACTGGTATCTGAATGAATCAAGCCAATAAGCCTTACATACATAGATAGAGACAAGTCTGAGCCAACTGACAAGCCACAAAAGGCAGTCCCAGTGGCTTATCTGCAGAAACCTATGAACACAAAATAGATTGTGTATACAGCCACACATGAGACACACTAGATCTCCCCACTATACAGCCAATTCCCAGCATGACAATGTAAATTCAGCTATCAATAGATTAGCCTTATCCATGAGAAATAATTGCAAGAAAGCACATACCACAGATTTCTCTTTTAAAAACAAACAAACCAATATAAAACAAACCGTCTTTCTAGGTGTAATCTGAGGTCAGAAAACACTGAACTCAAACTCCTTCACTTTCTATATTTAGTAGTTCAATCTTTTCACAGCCAGGAAGTCAAATGTTAAAATGCCACACTCTTCAGAGAGACACAGCTCACGATAAAGGAACTTAGGAGCTCCATTTTTCTCCTCCTCCTCCTCCTTTCTAATAGCTTTTAGGCAGGGTCTCTCTAAGTAGCTCTGGAACTCACTCTATAGGTCAGGATAGCCATGAATTCAGAGACTCACCGAGATTCACCTCTGCCTCCCCAGCGCTGGCATGAAAGACGTGCGCCACCATGCCAAGCCAAGACCTCAATTTTCAAAGAAAGATGCATGCATGGTCTCTGGAAAATCGTCTGTTTTATAAGGATGCTCCTCGATGTGTTCCACAGTGGAAAGGAAGAAAAAGGATGTGCTTTATGGACAGTCCGGGGTTCAGGAGGGAAGCTGCAGTGCACAGTTTAGCTGCGCCCGAGCCTCCTGCAAGGGTGCTTCATGACAAGAGTGGCTAAAAACGGCACGAGAAGAGAATGCTTACTGTGACCGGCCCCCTTCAATCACAGACCCTTTGGGATTCTTAATACGGCATAGTAAGATTTTACTAAAATATTGACCAGATTTCTGAAATTCAGATCCATGATTTCAATCATTTTATATGATGCTTAGTGTATGTAAAAAAAAAAAAATGCCAAGAGCAGGAAGAATAATCTTTCCAAGGAAAGAGCACAATTGGTTACCCCATGCCAAGTGGTTAGCCCCGAAAACATACATATATATTTAGAAATACATACATACAAGTATGTAACAACAGCTTATGAAAAAGGAGGCCATGAATTTGAAAGAGAGCAAGGAGGAGCATACAGAGAGAGGAGAAGGAAGGGGGAAATGTTATAATTTGTTACAATAAACCGCAGTAGTTTCTGATGTTACTCAACTCCCACCAGAGGGCTGAAGCTTTGGTGCCTAAACAGTTAACTCATTTAGTGATGTTCATGCCTTAGAAATAGGTAAGGTGAGTTCTTGTTCGTTTGAGAAGCTAGGAAAGATTGCACTAATTAGATTTGTCTCTCTGGAAATATTGCCAGCTTGTTCTTTTTGCTCTCGGCTTTTAAGTTGTGGGATTATTTTATATTTTAATTATTTTATTGTTAAATTGTATGTCTATGAGTTTTTTGGGGTGCATGTATGCCTATGCATCACGTATATGCCACAGAAACCACAAGTGGGTGTTGGATTCCCTGAAATCGGAGTTACACATGGTTGAGAATTGCCATGTAGGTGCTAGTTGTAGAACCTGGGTCTTTTGCAGGAGCAGTTAGTGCTCTTAATGGCTGAGCCATCTCTCCAGCCCCTCCTTTAATTTTTTAAATATAATTTTGTTTCTTTCAATGAATTTAAAATAAACTTTTAAAAAGCCCTTTGGAACAATGACTATTTTGCTTTGTTCTGTTTCTTTAAAAAGAGATTTAAGATGAAAGAATTCCACTGACCAGAATTCTTGATTTCTAAAAATTCCTATTAGATGTATTCTCTGATTTATGAGATGTCTTGATCAGGTTGGTGGGGGACAGGGGCTGTTTGACATTTAAGACCATTTAAAAATATGCCTGTCTTTCAAAAGAGCTGAATGTGTGGCAAGTTCTGGCCTTGATGGCACCCATGGAGAGCTGGAGTCTTCAGCACTTTGGGGCGAGGAACTGGCCCAGCTTCAAAGCAGCAAGGCTAGGCTGGCTCCCCATGCACCCTGGAATGGTACAGGGCAAAGACCGGCTCTGCTCCTATGTGGGGCTTCAGACCTGTCTGCCCTTCAAAGTTTCCTGCTGCCTGAGAAAACATGTGAAATATTTCCATGAAGGTCCCGCTGTGTAGAAGCAACAGGAAATAAAGGTTTACTCCAGGGATTCCCTGCGGATGGCGAGGTAGGGGTCCATCTGACAATCACAGTCTTCCAAACAACTTGCTATTTCTCCCAGATGTTTTCAAAGGCAGGTCTTGTGCGCCGCAACTGAGGGATATTTTATCTTCTTGTTTTTTAGTTTTGGTATGGATGGTATTTCACTGTGAGCAGTACTGTAATTGAGTGCTAAAGACCACCCCAAATTCAGACTGATGTGGGAACCCCACAGAAGAGCCATTGAAATTGTCTTAGTGGTTAAGTGAAATGAAGTATTCATATACTCTGGAACTTCCTGGAGGAAGTAAAACACAAAACAAAAAACAGTTCTTTTGGAAAGAAAGAAAGAGAGAAAGAGAGAAAGAGAGAACGAGAGAAAGAAAGAAAGAAAGAAAGAAAGAAAGAAAGAAAGAAAGAAAGAAAGAAAGAAAGAACCTCTGTGGCCAAATGATGGCTAAGGGGAAGGGTGCTTGCTGCCAGGCCTGATTGTTGTAGTTTGATCTCCAGAACCCATGTGGTGGAAGGAGAGAACTGACTCCCACAAGTTGCCCTCCAACCACCACATGAA